GTCTTCCGGGTTGGCCAATGGAGATAAATGCAATGGTTCCTTTGGATGAGGGGGCTGCATGGAGACTGAGGTCAGGGTAGCCAATTGGAGAAAAACGGTATTACTTTGGAGAATCTTTGGGCCAGTAGACCCTGGACACTGGCTAAAGAGACTTGGTGTGGCCTGGGGTATGTCTGTGTCTTTGACTAAGAGATCAGCATTCAAAGGGGAGGCGGCGTCAGGGGCAGGGCCGTTGGATGGGGTGGTGGATGCTCCTGATGCTCCTGATGCTCCTGATGCTGCTACTCTCAATGCTGCTCTTGCAGCTGTCCCTGCTACTGCTGCTGCTGTCAATGATGCTGCTGTGGATGCTCCTGCTGCTGCTGTTACTAATGTAGCTGCTGCTGCTGTTTCTGTCCCTGCTGATGTTTCTATTGCTGCTACTGCTGTTTTTGGTGTTGCTGTGGCAGCGGCTGCTGCTGCTCTCAATGCTCCTGCTGCTGCTGTAGCTGCTGCTACTAATGTAGCTGCTACTTCTACTAATGTAGCTGCTGCTGCTGTTGCTGTCCCTGCTGCTCCTGCTGCTCCTGTAAATGCTGCTGATCTTGACATAGCTGCTGTTGTAGATGCTGCTTCTGCTGCTGCTCCTGTTGCTCCTGTAAATGCTTCGGCTGCTGTTGATGTAGAGGCTGTTATAGATGCTGCCGCTGCTGCTAATGCTGCTGCTGCTGCACCTAGGACTGGGGCAGACACAGGAGACATGGTGGCAGCAGCAGCAGACACTGGCTTGAGGAATGCAGTGGTTGCAGGGGTTGGGTTGGGGATTCACTTTTTGGCTGAGTGAAGGAGGTACAGACTGGTGTATAGTGCTGAGAGGTTCTGTGGTACCCCATCCTGGTGGAGGGCCCACCAGTGGGCTCCTCACTGCAGCCCAGTCTGAGGCTGCTGGAGCTTATCCTCCAGCTGGAGCACAGTGCCTGAAAATGTTCAAAGCCAGAGAAGCAGATCCTGGAAAATCAGTGGATGAGGATCTCAGGCAACAAGAAAATTCCTCGACTCCCATGGCAGCTGGGTACTCTCTGTCGTCTTCATTTAAAAGGCAGATGGAATCTCCTGTCCAAAGGCTGGGCACGGTCACAGGGTGCCACATGCAGGAGCCATCAGCCTCAGGCACCCACGAGGAAATCATGTGGCCTGGGAAGGCTTGTGGCAAGCTGTCCATGCTGACCCGGCAGACATGGGGGGCTCTGCTGATGGGCCACGAGCTCCTGCTGGGCTCAGGCTGGCTCATGCTGAAGCCATAGGCAGAAGCCAAGCTGACCCAGGGGTCTGCAGCACCCAGTGTCCTGTCTCCTTCCTCCCAGAACTGCCTTCCATCATAGATATCTTCCTGCTCCACCTGCTCCAGGGATGCACCTTCGGCGATCTCTGTTGAGGAGCCTGCCTCCGACTGGAGAGTCTCCAAGTGCTTTCCATTCAGGCCACCCCTCATGATGGCTCTGAGAGGTTCCAATCTGTCTGTGGGAAGGGCAGGCATGGAGTTAGGAGAGCAGGAAGCAGAAGACAGGACCGAAAGGAGATGAGGGGAGGGAAAAGCTGTAGAGGAGGCAAGAGTCATGTCTAGAACCTGTGGGGTGGGGATAGGGCATTGCAGGTGCCCGTCCCTAGGAGTTTCTCAGGGCATGGCTGTGGAGCAGCCAGAGGACACCTCTGGTTGGCTGACTAAACAGAGCCCAGAAGCTGCCAATGGTGAGCCCCAAGGACCCCAAATTCATTATTAAACTGAACTGTAGGGCAAGTTCCAGGACCAATCTGGAAAACTCTGTGAGCACCTAATTCAGAACGGAAAGTTAAAAAAAAAATAAATAAAAAGGTTGAGGGCCCTGGAACAGAAATGAAGGAAAGACAGGTTGTCTGGCACAGGTGAAGCCCTGGGTTCAAGCCTGAGATCACAAATTAACAACAAAAACAACCAAATCCTCAACATTCTGCTCCTCAACAGGATCCCTCTGTGTCAGTCACAAAAAACCTGCCTGGGCACCAGCTGTGGGGCGAGACAAGCTAAAACAGTTCACTTTTGCCGTGGAGGTGGTCACTTCTTTGACCCAACTGGAGGCTGCTCTAGGCTCCCATCATTGAGGAACACTAGCCAGAAGGTCTGTTAGGAACACACTTTTAAAGCCATCAACCCTCTAAC